CTGAGGGATAAGATCTAAACTTCATATTCAATATCACTGGAGTTACATTGCAAAAAATTATACAACAAGTTCATTTTTGCAAGAATTTAAAAGCAAAAGGTACATTGGTATCATCCGTACAAGTTACAATCATCAGCCAACAAATAACTTCAAAATAGTTAAAAATCTTTAGTGGATTTAAGTGACTTCTTCTCTACTACACACAAGCATCTCTTACAACTTCTTCTTTAAAGAAAGATTGTAATTTGGTCTTCATTAGGCCTCAACTCAGTTAATATTATACGTGTATCGTCAGAACATCGACATAGCACACTGCTCCAGCCCTTTAACTCTGGGATATCTGATATCGGTACAATTCAGTATGGAGGCATATTATTTATGCAAAATGCCACTGGACACCCGCCATCATCAGGCCTTCGTCGGATTTTTGACAGCGGTCCTTTACTTCATATCAGCCATCATCGGCTTCTCGCTCGACTGCTATTTACAGTGCATCCTTGAACTCTCTCCTTCATCTCTACACTCGGTCGTTGACTGCTAATGGGCTTCAACTTGATTGTACATCACCGACAGACTTCCACTCGAACAACATCAAAATTATCCCCATCTACTGGCTCTCCTCCCGAGTACTATTACCGTCAGATCTTCTCAAATCATCCCTGCATACAAGCATCAATTGATCTTCTTCTGTCAAGAATCATCTTTTAAGAAGATAGCTTCTCCTCGCAACTCCTTATATACAAGAGAGGGGCACTGAAGATCGATAGGAGAATGTTGTCTATCACCGACAGTGGAATGCCTCCAATATAAGAAGAAGTTCGCAAGATAAGAATAAGAAGAAAAAAAATCTCCTATACAAGAGAGGGGCACTGAAGCTCACTAGGAGAATGCCGCTATTACTGACAGAGGAATGCCTCCAATGTAAAAAAGAAGTTCGCAAAAGAAGAATAAGAAGGAAAAAATCTCCTTTTATACAAGAGAGGGACACTGAAGTTCGATAGGAGAATGTCGCCTATCACCGACAGTGGAATGCCTCCAATGTAAGAAGAAGTTCGCAAAAGATGAATAAGAAGGAAAAAATTTCCTTCTATACAAGAGAGGGGCACTGAAACTTGATAGGAGAATGTCGCCTATCTCCAACAGTGGAATGCCCCTAATATAAGAAGAAGACTAGAAGAGAAGAAAATGAACGACTGCAAAAATTCTAAACTTCTAAACACGGAGAGGGGCCCTGAATTTTAGTAGGGGATGATGCCTACAAAAAATAGGGGAATGCCTCAAATGTTAGAAAGTTAGAACGAAGAAGGAGAAAGATTGGAAAAATTCCATCTTCTGTACAAGAGGAGGGGTGCCAATTTAAATAGGGAAAGACCTACGAAAAACGGTGGAATGCCTCCACTGCCAGAAAGTCGGAAGAAGAAAAAGAGAAGAAATTCTAACTTCTGTATAAGAGGACGGGCGCTGAATTGAGTAGGAAAAATCACCTACTCAAAAACAACGGAATGCCTCAACTGTCAGAAAGCCAGAATGAGGAGAAAGAAAGGAAAAAGTTGCAAAATTCTTCTTCTACACTGAAGAGGGGCGCTGATTTAAGTAGGGAAAATCACCTACAAAAAAACAGTAAAAGGCCTCTAAAGGAAGAAGAAAAAATGCAGGAAAAAAAAGTAAAAAGAAGAGGAAAATTTCAACTTTTGTACAAGAGGAGGGGCGATGAATCAAGTAGGGAAAGTCACCTACTAAAAAACGGCAGAATGCCTCCACTGCCAGAAAGTCAGAAGAAGAAAAAGAGAAGTCTCCAACTTTTGTACAAGGAGAGGGGCGCTGAGTCAAGTAGGAAAAATCACCTACTTAAAAACAACGGAAAGCCTCAACTGTCAAAGAGACAGAGGGAGAAGAGGAGAAGGGGCAAGTTTCTCCATGGCCTTAGGGTTCTATTTATAGTTTTTTTTTTTTTTTTGAGAAGGGGTAAGTTTCTAGAGTTTTCTAGAATTTTCAAAAATTTAAATTTTTCAGAATTTTTTCGAAATTTTTTGGAATTTTCTTTGATTTTTTCAAAATTTTTTAGATTTTTTTTAATCGGCGAGCCCCACAAAAAAAAAAGGTTTTTTGGCATAACCGCGCACCTAACTGCGCGGTCGTGCCGTTTCGCGCACGGCGCGCAGGCCATTGTCGGCGTGCGGCATCCGGACAGCAGAATTCGACCACCAACGCGTGTCCGGGCTCGATTTTTGGCTCGAACGGTCCAAATTCGATGTTTTTGGGGCCCCTAGACATGTTTTTCGATATTCCTGACTCGATTTTGGCACTTTTGGAGCTCAATGAGGCCTTTATGATCAAATTTGAGCAAATTTATGTCTTTTTGAACATAATTTTTTGTGAATCAGCCACTGCAAGATGTCGACACATATATTTTTGGACTTCTGAAGCTTCGACGTCCGAAAATAGGGGGGCAACTAATACATTATCATAAAATTATCTTGACCGGACACGAATCTTGAGGCAAAATCAAGCCGAAAACTTCAAAAATTAAATCCGAGAGCATCTGAACTCCGATTTCAGCAAACTTACTATCAAACTGAGAGTCTCGAAAATACGAACCCAACGACACTAAATTCAACTCAATCCGAGCCTAAATGAGCCCAAATCGAGCACCCAAAGTGCTATTGGAAATTTTGTAAAACAATTTGAGTTACCAAACGGTCTCCGAATTTGATGAGCTTATAGTCGAATCGAGCGCCTCGACGAGACGAATCCAACGAGCCCAAGATCGCTAAATTCTGACATCATTAAGACCTTCAAATATCTGACGAACGGTGTACGATCAACGGATTCAATATCAGCCGCCCATTCAACCACTCCCTATTTGCCCCTGATCTCACACCTATTTACAAGCTATGCCACTTCAGAAAATCTATAAATAGAGCCCTCATTTCTCATGAAGGGGGACCGAAGCAAGGAGGAGAAGAAAAAAGAGAAGAATAGGAGGGAAGAGACTCCTCGACCGCCGCCAGAGTTCCGCCCGAACTTCAAATGACGCTGGAATTCTGCCCGTCTTCTACGGGATGCCAGAATTTTTCCCAGCTTCCACGGGATGCTAAAATTATTCCCAATTAACGACAGAGTTCCCTCCTGACGCTGAAACTCCGCCCAAGTGATGTCGGAGTTCCCCTCGGCCTCCAACAGACATCAGACTTCTACCTGATGCCAGACCTTCAATCATCACCAACTTTCTACCCGATGCCGGACTTCTATCGGTTATCGGACTTTCGCTGGACATCTATCTAAAGATAGATTTCTTTCCATTGTTGGACTTCTACCTGACGCCGTCCTTCAGACTTTCGTCGTCAGACAACAGTCTTTCCGACCTCGTTCGCCCGTCGACTACATTCTTTCTGACCTCCGTCACCCACCGACTACGGTCCTTCTAACTTATGTCGCCTACCGACTACAGTCTTTCCGACCTCCATCGCCCATCGACTACGGTCCTTCTAACTTACGTCACCCACCGATTACAATCCTTCCGACCTCCGTCGCCAGTCGACTACGGTCCTCCTTACTTACGTCGTCCGCAGACTACAGTCTTTCTGACGTCCGTCACCAGACTATGGTCCTCCCGACCAAATGAACACGTCAACAGTGATTCTTTGTATTCACATAATGTTATGTACTCTATAAAATGTACAGCTAAGGCCTTCTCCCAATGAAGGGTCTCATTTGTAATCAACTGCAATACTAGTGGATTCATTCAAACTGGGCTAGGCCTTATGGTTTTTCCCCCTTTTCAGGGATTTTTCACATAAAAATCTTATTGTCTCATAAATACTATACCCTCTCTCTTATCTGATTGCGTGCCGAATTTTCGTACAACGCTAAGACGCTAATCTTTATATTTCTCTACAGCCGCGAATACTCCTGGACACAACAATAATAATATAATGGAAGCTAAAGATGGTCATGAAATCGATAGATAGTTATTGAAATTTCAAATATGTTATGAAAATATGGTAGTTGATTGTTAAAGTACCTGTTGAATTAATGTAGAAAAATCAAAAGTTTTTTAAAAGTACTATGTTTTTTTTTCTTAAATCAGACACTTTTCTTTTACATGTGAAATTCTATTAGATCTGATAGTTAAAAACTGGTTCACACTATAAATTTTCTAAGAAAATAACAAAATTATTTATTTAAGAAAAAATACAATGAGCGTCTAAAAGTAAAACAGTGAAAAAACTGCCATGCGAACTCTTAATGAGGCTGTGCCAAGTAGACGGTGAGATCAGATTAACTTAGACTTAGGCTTTCTTTAATTTTCATCCTAAAAAATTACTTTAAGCACTAAAACAGCCATCCTAAATTATGATTTTATTTAAGATGGCTGTTTTAGTTGCTTTCTAAAGCAATTTTTTTTACAACAAAATTTTTTAATTCAAAAAAAATCTATATTTTTTAAAAAGCAATAAAAAAATTGTTACAAATAAAACCTAAATAATTTAAAACATTTTTTATGCTTTATAAAATTATTAAAAAAAATAACATTTTTAAATTATTATAGAAAGTAACTTTTTAGTTTAATTTTTTTTAAATAACAAAATAAAATAATGATCAAATAAATTTATTACTACAATCTAAAATATAAAATAACAAAAAAAAATTATCCCAAACAAAACCGTAATCTCATATATTGTTAATCTTTTATATTTGATACTTCCACACTCTCATGATCTACTATATTATTCTCAAGATCAAGCGTTACAAGTTGGAGCAAGATTCTAACTGATACTCCTTAATCCCAAGTTAATGGATTTGTGCTAACCTTAACTAGCCAAAATGTATGGGAAATAAAAGATAATTGTCAATACTCACATATCTATGATTGATATTATAAATAGTATAAATTTAATTATCATGAATCTATCATATATAAGAATAAAAAATATAAATGAGAATATATCTTCTATAATTAAGGTATGATGATTAAAATGATAAATATGCCTTATACATATTATATGATAATAATATTGTTGCATTATAAAACGCTGCAGTTGTCCCAAATAGTTTATACAACTTCTTAAAAGCCAAGGAGAAAGCAGCTAAAACTAGAATGCGGTTCTCAAGGTAAAAAGACATTCGGACAAAACACAAACCTCCAATAGCAGTTTGCTGCAACTTATAAAAGGGAACAATATGAAGAAGCAACCTATAGTGAAAGTACTAAGATTGATCTACCTTTGCTATCTTAGCTCCCTCCATGGAAGGAGAGTGAGGGGTTATTCACTTCTTCTCTGAGTTGCTCTCCAATTCTTTCCTTAACTGACGAGAGAAATCATCATTGACATCATCATCATCCCAATCATCTTCCCACTGCTGCAGGGCATCCTTTCCTTCTTCCTTGTCATCCCACTCTGCAACAAAGTAGAGGAAAAAGATGGTTAAGCTTAACTCTAAAATTGATACATATCAAAAGCTCAGAAAGACATAAATAATCAATCGGTATTTTCAAAATCTGGACAAAAGAAGCTGGAGGATGAAACAGGATTCAATACAGATGTAAAAGTTACTTTTCAGTTCTAGCTAGGATAAGCGTGTAGATCATCATAGATGAAGCAAATGCTATTCAATATGATTTGTACTTCTAGGAGATCTATTTTTGAGTCATATGATGTTTGTGTAACTAATATTTCGATAGGATCGCAAAGAAGCTTCCAAGTACTTTTAAAGGTAGCCAATTTGATACAAGAAAGGTAATATAATATAAGTGAACTCAAGATTATGAAGTTAGAGAGACGCTTGGATTGTAATGATTAGCATGGCAGATAGTATGGATGAAATGCCTACGTTTTTATGTACAGTGCCCAAAAATATAAAACAAAGCTAACTTAAGAGGTAAAAGCTTCTGGATGGAATCAACAAGATGAAGTTGGGATGTTTACGCAGCTTGGTTGCATATGGATGCTCTTTATAATCAGGTCGCATGCTACAAGGCCAAATTTGTGTATGATGTAGTGGAATGTAGCTATCCCCAACAAAATGCTTGGTTGGAGTAAGTGTAATGAATATGACGTTACTAGTCTAGATTTGAATTTTTAATGACAAATTCTAATTTTTAAGCTACTGCACTACACTTTGTTTTATTGCTACAGGAAATACTTATTTCCCTTGCAATCTTCATCGTGATGGGAAAAATAGTCAACTCATAGCAAGCTATCTTACTGCGTTGTGATAACTATTATGATAATGACTGATTTCATTTTTTATGCTAATTAAGCTCGAGGTTTGGACCCTAAGAAAAATCATAACTATGCATGTAAAACTGTTGTAAGTTCTTTACTGCAGAATAAGGATATGTTGCAAAACTAGCTCAGAAGTACGTTGCAAAACTTCTGCTTAATCCTTTCTCCAGTAGCTGGAGAACGCACTTTGATCTACTGGAGTCTCTAGGAACTAAAACCACACGAGGGAGCAACACGGTTTGAAAGTATTCAAAGCTCTGGCGATCCCTACTATTTTGGAGTTCATAAAGGATGCACTTTTGGAGTTCATAAAGGATGAAAAGTAACATAAAGATCTCAAAACTAGCCGCCATCTTCTCCTACAGATTTCTCTTTTCTTGAATCAATGAAAATTGAACTTCCTTGTTTTAATGGATCCAACGATGAAACATAGACCTGTAAAGTACAAGAATGCTTCAATTTTCACAACACTCCTAACTTTCATGGCATGAATTTATTTATCATTACAAAAATATTTTGATCCTACATATGAAGATTTACACTTTATAGGGCAACCTTTCCAAGCTAACCAAACAAAATTCAGTTCTTGAATACCAAACTGCATTCGAAAAATTGCTTTTAAAGTTTCAAATTTACTTGAATCCAAGCTAATTAGTTATTTCATATCCAAATTTAAACAAGAATTATGCTGCAAACTTTTACTTACAAGACCTACTTCATGCTTGGATGTTATGAATTAGCTAGATGTCATGAATCTAAATTTAATATTTCTTTTTCATTTCATCATCTAGAGAAATGTTTTCCTTCTAATATAAAAAATACTACACCTAATCATCCACATGCTAGTATGAATCCAACCAATACACAATGACAGCCCCCTCCCCAATCTTCTAGTACCTCTTCTACGCCAAACCCCAATATCCCTAAGCCTCCAAATCTTCCAATCTATAAGCAATTGCCAGCCTAAATTCAGTTTCAACATGATAAAGGTTTTTGTTTCAATTGACGCAAAATTTGGACCTCAACATCGTCCAAATAAATTCCATCTTTACTAGGCACAGATGATTATAATTTACATGATGACTCTTTCCCTTCTACTACCAATGATGAAACTATACCTCCTCAACTTGAGATCAGCCTTAATGTTTTAGCCAGATAATTCAACCCTCATTCTTTCTGATTAACCGGCTTGATAGTGGTAGTACTCATAATTTCATTCAAGACCATCTAATCCAACAATTAAATCTGTCAAAATTACTATTTAGGAACAACAAGTCTTTCTAGATGTACTTGTTCTTTTGATTTATGGTGTTGATGAAGTTATCGGTATGCAATTGCTCTAATCTTTAGGATCTGTTTTACAGTTATCATGCAATTCCAAAATCAAAATCAATATATCATCACCCTGACAGGAGAACCTCAATTAACACCTAACCCTATATCCTTTGCTAAATTACGTATCATCATTTCCTATTCAACCACCATTCAAATCTTGAATATTTAATCACAACTATTAGATCTGGATCCTACACCATCTGCAAATCTTCTTGACAACTACCTAGATAATCTTTACCAATATTCATTTCTACCTTACTAAAAACATTTCAGCATTTGTTTCCGCCACCCCAAGGCATACCCCCATCACGATCATTGTATTCATCTTCTAGCCTTATCAAAACCATTTAACATCCATTCTTATCGTTATTCACATTTTCAAAAGAATGCTAAAGAATAATTAGTTTCTAACAAGCTTCACTCCAGTATAATTTGTCATATTCACAACCCTTTTTCTAATCCGGTGTTACTTGTTAAAAAACGGGATGGTACTTAACGTTTTTGTGTTGATTATAGAGCTCTTAATTTCCTTACATTAAAGATAAATTTCATATTCCAACAGAAGATGAACTCTAAGATGAATAACATGGAGCTTCCCTTTTATCCAAACTTGATCTTCATTCTAGCTACCAAGTTAGGATGCATCCGAAAGATAATCATAAAATTACCTTTCAAATTCATGACTATCATTATGAATTCCTCATTATGCCTTTTGGTTTAGTGAATACTCCTACATTTCAGACTTTAATAAATCAAAATTATTTGCTTTTCTTTGCAGATTTGTTATATTTTCTCTTACGACATTCTTATTTACATCCCTACTCTTAAACATCATTTTGAGCACCTTCAATCTATTTTTAAATGCTTACAGACAAATCATTTCTTTCTAGAGTTTAATAAATGTCATTTTTGTCAAACATCCATCGAATATCTGGGTCATACTGCCTTTACTGGATGTGTCAAATCTGACCCTAATAAAATTAATGTTATGACCACCCAACCAGTTCATTTATCCTTACATCATCTTCATTCTTTTTTGGCTTTTACGTGATATTACTGATGGATTACACCTGATTATGCTTACATTGCCTCTCCTTTAACCAATCTTCTCAAAAAAGATTCCTTCAAATGGGATGTCATAGCTTCAACTACTTTTCACAATCTCAAACTAGCTATGACAACTGCTCCCATCTTAGCTTTACCTGATTTCAAAAAAACCTTCATTCTTGAAACAGATGATTCTTCCAACATTGGCATTGGCGCAATTTTATAGCAAAATAATCATCATATCTCCTTTTTCATTAAAAAATTAAGCATTAAACTCTCTAAATCTTACACTTATCTAAGGTAATTATATGATATTATTTAAGTTGTTTCTAAATGGCGCTAGTATTTATTAGGCAATAAATTTATTATTCGTACCAATCATAAAAGCTTATATGAACTACAAACTCAAGGTTATTCAAACTCCTAATCAACAAAATTATCTTCGCAAGCTTTTAGGATTTAATTGAATATAAACCTGACAAAAGAAATATCATTGCTAATTCATTATCCATACTGCCAGAAGATATTTCACACTTCAACCTCCCTTGCTTTAGCAAAATTTCTTTTTCTCAAATAAATAATTTACAACAAGAATCTCTTCATTCTCCAGATATTATTCATATAGCTTCTCAACTTTTTAATGGCCAACTCTCAATGATAAGCATCTTGGCATCTAAGAAGAAAAGAGTAAAAGACACATTTATAGTAAGTATAGACTTCAAGAGAAAAAGAGGGGATAGAGAGAAATCATAAATTTTCATTAAGAAAAGGCACATTTAGAGTAGGTGTAGACTTCAAGTGAAGAAGAGGGGAAAGAGAGAAACCAGAATTTTTTATTCCGTATCCTTGCCATTATAATATGAAGGGTTATTTATACTAATTAGGTAAACCAATTTTATAATAAAGAACTGGTCTACTCAAAATAAACTTAAAATATAATAAAAGAATAAATTAGTGCTTATGACATATGTATAGACCAATTGAGCTAAACCCTTAGAATAGGAATTTGTTTTGCCTTGTATCATCAAGACACTCTAATTAGCAGCTATAGGTTATCTCCTCTCATAGATAGATGGTATGCTGAAGAACATTCATCCACTCACAGAGAGGTCAAGAGATTCATACCAAAATAAAAAAGGTCTCTAAGGTACCATTATAAGTAATAGTGGTTTAGAGGCATTAATACGTGAAAATTGGAATTTTTTTTAAGACTATCCTAGTCAATTCATGCTAAATTAGATCAAAGTCACGAAGTATGACGAAGTGTGCTCAAAGTGTGATCTAGCCAATTCATTGATACAAGGGTGAATTAGGGATCTACCTTGAGAGACGAGGTAGAACCCTAATGCATACAAGCAGTTAAGGATTGAGTTTTGCGAGAAACCCATTATGCTCGAGAGTTTGGATTATGGGTTGGAGTTCAACTCAGTCAAACAAGTAACTCAAACATCTGGAGTAGAGTGGTTTTCTATCTTACTGAGGTTGCAGATCACAGATTCAAATTTCAAACATAACACAATGTAGTAGGGTGAGAATTAAAACCATAGCGAAAAGAAAGCCCAAAAATTTGGATATTGGCTGTATGGATATGTTGTTCAATACTAGTAAACTTGGATAAGCATAAAGCTTACAAGTCTAATCTTATGGAGGATGGACCAAAGGAATGGAGTTACAGGGATGTACCTCAAGGATATCCTAATTAATCAAGTAATTTCAACACAAAATGAGGCCCATCACAACCATCCGAAAGTGTTATGCTCTTTGTCGAACCACAAAGTGAGACTCCCTCT